AAGGCTATTATCAATTGGTTGGGTCATTCAGATAAAGAGACATTGGCTGTCTCAATTCTGAATGTGTGAAATCCATAACACAAATTGGCCTAACCACCCTCCTTATTTAGAAAAGGAGTTTGGACTTGTAACAAGTCGCATTTTCTTCTGCATGCCTGTAAAACAGCAAGAAGCTCCTCTGTGGAGAGGGTTCCATCAGAAAACCATTGAACAGCTGCAGACCAAACTAAACAGCCAAAATAGTAAGGAATGATGCCTTTAAATTGAGAGAAGGACCCCCTCGACCATTCACAATCCCCGACAAACCTGGTCCAACTTCAAGTTCACCTGAGAGCCTTTAATAGAAACTTGACTACAACAAATCTCAGTTTACTTAGAATCGTCTGCTTTTCAAGATCTTTATTTCAGCTGAAACATTCACTCACCTAAGATACTACATATATGCCACAAGAGATTGAGATAATCATAAATCAAAATTGTATTCTATTACCTGCATCTGTATCTAATCTTTGAGCATGTTATAGTCTCTTTGAGATGGATGAGTGAGACATTGAGTTTTAAAGATCCAGGGCAAGCGTACAATTATAAATAACCTGGCTTTTTCTCTAAAAAGAAAGACACAAAAGCTAAAATTAATTAATCGGGACAATCCGTCTGAGGCTAAATAACTACACAATCCATGTATACCAACATTGATCATGAATAGGAAAAAGAAACTCATGAATTCTATCTGTGACACTTTTCAATGGGCACACCTTTGACCAGGCCAAGCTACAGTGATGCAGACAGTGTCTTCAGCTTCAGAAGATGGTGTGGCAATACTCCCCATGCAACATGCTGCCAATGCATGAGATCTCATTTTGTTGACTTTAACAGGGTACCCATATGTTGGCTGTCCCAATCTCTCATCTTTGTCTCCCACAGGACTAACAGTAGACGTGGAGGAGTCCACAAATTGCCAACAAGCTCTGAAGGAGACAGAGAAGGAAGAGACCTCAAAACTTACACCGTCACATCTTTCCTATGCACCCTCCATAGTGCTCAGTGGGTCAGTGGCATTATTGTAAAGGGCAGCACAGGGTAAAGTGCACATAATGTCAGAGCAAGAGTATACAGGGAAGACAGTCGGAATCAACCAGACCCCTTGGAGGGTGGAGAACAGGCACAGTCCAGCTCAACAGGGCAGAGATGCAGAGTCTCAGGAGCTACATGTCAGGCTGAAGAACAAACATGATGCATGTGCTCACATATCAGAGCTGCCTGTGGCAGTGTGGGATCATAAGATGAGAATGTACTCCACAGTGTTGAAACCTTTGAGTGCAAGAACTACACCACTGAGAGAGTGATCAATCTCCAAGAAGACCCATGTACAGTGGCACTCAGAGCAGGTGCAGGAGCAACACTCTTGCCAGTGGCACAGAGAGCCAAGGAGTGGATGCCAGCTGTGTCCCAGCTGACTGGTGCCCTTCCAGGATCAAGGGCACTTTCCAAGGGAAGGGTTTGCCCCAGATAGTCCTGGGGTCCACTCTTCATGGGGCCCCCTCATCATCCACCTCAATGGCTCCTCCAAAAGTGGATTATCTGTAGAAGTTCTGCCCTGTGACAAAAGCTGCTCAAGCAACTGGTACCTGTGCAGCAGTCTTTGTAAGTGAGCTGTACCCTTAGCCCCATCATCACCGTGGAATGGACTTTGTGGGCACTTGTAAATCATTTACCTGTACTTCACTCTCTGCCCCAGGAGCAGAGTCTCATAGGCATGATCTTGAATGCAGGTTACTGCATCAGTGAGGTCTTTTTTGTGGGTCAGTTCTGAGACATTCGACTGGCCCAGAGGTAGGGCCAGGACCACTGCAACACACAATCCTGTTAAATTCCAGGATTTAAATTCCACCGGCCACCATGGTGGGATTTGAACTCATATCCCCAAGGCATCAGCCTGGGCCTCTCGTTTACCAGACAAATGTCATTACTACTAAGCGACCACATCTCCTAGAATCAGCTCTGCTTTAACAAGGCAGGAGTTGAGTCTGGCACTTTAGAACCGCTCAGCCATCTTGACAAGTCGTCAATGAACATTGATATCCAGCTCAAGCTTCCCCCTTCCCTATAACTTGTATTGCATTTTACTGAGTATATGTTGCAGCATTTCAGATGTTCTCTCTTTTTAAAAGCGTTATGCTTTTAATTGATTCTTTTGAAATGAATAAAACAAACTCTTGCTTAAAAAAAAATGACAAGCTCATGAACAGGCTTTACTGGCTGTTTAGCTATTTTGGGAGAGTGTTTGAAAAGCCTGGGACTGGATTTGGAGGGTCTTCAGTGGAACGGAGATCACACAAAAGATGGTGTCTGCCCCCACCTAGCCTAAGCTCACTACCATAATCCAGAGGGATGGGCCAAGTGCCAAAATCGTCAGTCTACCCGATGTATGCACATAAATAATCAATGGTCAAAGCTCAGAGGACTGTTGGTTTGTCAGTCACCGCAGGTATTCTAGCTGCGAGAGTGGTTGGAAACTGACAAAAAGTAAATACATTTGGAAGATTACAGTGCCATCCAGTGGCAGAATCTGTGTAAATGCCAGGAAGCTAAAGAAGTAGCTTTTCCTCCACAAGGACAAAAATCAGCCATGATCGTTTGCATCGATAATTATTTACCAAACTGTACATACGCACATGTACACAGGTGTGAAGTGAGCCATAGATCTGGGTGAGCCCCCAACATATCATGCCATCATCCATGTATGACTAAAGACACTTGTATGTCCATTGAACCATACTGTCGATGTCTTCAGGAGAGATAGACGTGAGATTAAATCATCTTCCATCACAATTATTTAATTTAAAACCATAAAATGAATTTATGTAAGTTATAATAAGTGTCAGATTTTGTTTTAGATTAGTACTTTGTTCATCATTTTGTATAAATGACTGAAACCCTGGCTGAGAGATAGTAGGAACTGCCGATGCTGGAGAATCTGAGATAACAAGGTGTGGGGCTGGATGAACACAGCAGGCCAAGCAGCATCAGAGGAGCAGGAAAGCTGACGTTTCGGGCCT